AGTGGCTATTTTCGAATAAAAATAACTTTTAAACGTGACTTTTTACAGTAATGTGTTATATACCAAAATTTAAGGAATCTCAAGGGCTATACAGTTTAAGGTTTTAAAGAAAATCGTTAGAGCCGTTTTTGAAAAAAATAAAAAAAAGCTAAAAAAAAAGTTTTAAAAAATTGTTTTTTGTTCATATTTTTTTAAGTATTACATTTACACAAATTGCATATAGAAGGCGTTTATAGCATTTAAAAATACCTTTCAAACGAGATGCAGCACAAGCCTGTAGCTTTAGTAGTATAGAAGTTACGGCTTTCCGAATTTTAGCTACTTATAGCTGTTTTCCCGCTAAACTAGCGGGTTTTTCCAAAAGTGGTAGAACAAAAGTTTTTTATATCGATGTGATGAACGTCATATCAAATTTTCAGAACTTAAAAAACATATTTTGGACAAGTGGACAAACAGAATTAAATTTTCATTTTGGGAAGAAGAAGAAAATCTTATTTTGGCTATAACTTTTGAACGGAGAGTCGGATTTTGACAAATGACCCCTCATTCGACGGGTATTTTCAAAAGGAATACAAATAAAACATTGCGAGGGGGCATTTATCCCCACCGGCCCCAACAGCTCCAAATTTCGAAATTTTCACTTTTTCACTTTCACCGCTCTCTCTCCCAAGCCAATTGATTTTCTTAAAGTCTTGGTATGCAATCCTGTTAGTTTTCGCAATACCTTTCGATAGGTGTATTATTCATTATGATCGGACCATCACAGTAGATTTTCATTTCTTCGTGTATATGGGCACTTCCAAAAAAAAGTCCACCAAGCCAAAAACCTTGAAACTTGAATAAAACATATTTCCACATGATTTTGCCCCGATATTAGTTTCTAATTAGTTGGATACTGAGCTTAACTACAAATTTGGAGTATAGTTTGACTATTTTTATGAAAAACCCCACCAATATACGCAAAAATCAGTTTTTGGCTTTTTTTTTGTTATTTTTTAAACCTGTCTTCTGTTGTAAATTTATCCTATAGGAATGCTAATATGTGACATTTTCCTGTACTGAATGCTTCATTCACATGCTAAACTATTAAGTTAAAGGCAAAACATCCAGCAATTGAGAGATAGAGGTAAAGAAATCCGCTTTACAAAACAGTCGGAAAAAATGTCCCGAGCGACATGTCCCGAGCGAATGTGGTTGAAACTGCATAAAAAAAAAAAACGGCAAAGAATTTTTGAGTAAAACCAAAAGTATTTCACAGCGACATGTTTGAACAACATTCTAAAAAAAATCGCATTCAAATATTCCATCAGAATTTGCTAATTTCTAGTGTTGTATGAACTTCCTCGAAATCCACTTCTATTTTTGTCCCGAGCGAATACGGCAGTTTTTTACCGATATCTTAAAAACTAAAAGTGGTACAAAATTAAGATTTTTACCAAAAATAGAGCTTGGGAAGAGTGAAAAGAAAAGCCCATAATTAAAATTAAAATCCATTGTTTTACAATTTTTTTTCAACCTTAAAGGTGTGCAAATGTCCCGAGCGACATTTTGGAAGTGCCCATATATAGTAGTCGCCTTCGCACACTCTCCTGGTGCGCTTCGTCACTACATGGACTGCCGTCCATAGTGATCTCAAATTTCCTAACAATGTTTAGATGAATATTTTATATTTTCATTACGGCCTTTTGGAATTAATTGGCTCTATAAAACCCATTACCATTACCCACCGACATATCTGATCATCATCCGCCAAACCAGCAGCATCTTTATTAAAATCATTACGATGATATACCAGGCAATGAAGGCGAAAATGTATTTGGCCCATTAACATGAGAAACGGGAATTGTATTCGGCACATAATTAGGTGAGTGTGTTCAGAAATGAATATGCAACCGGGGCAAAAGAGCACCAGCTCGTTCTCCAGTTGCAGCCAAGTGGAGAGACCACAGCCACCAGATTTCGAATAAATTTGAGGGAGCAACTAAGAAAAACCAACCGAAATGAGGCAGATATTTTTCGTGTGTAGGTAACGTGGCTTTTGATCTTTGCTGCGTTTGTTTGTATACAATTTGATGGCTCGTGTTGATGGATCGTAAACGTGGAATGATGTTCGCACTGTTGCTGCTCCTCTCGCTGATGACGATGATCAACGCAACGATGACGGCACTGTGTGTCTTTGATCATTTGCCGCGCCAGTTGGCAGTCAAAATGTTAATTTATATGTTCTGCTCCCGCCTACAATCGAAACAGGCAGAAAACGAGAGAAAAAGGCCTGCCAGGGGCACTAACAACTTTACAAACATGTTTGAGATTTTTATTACTGTGTGAAAATGTTGGATTCTTCCGTAAAATCCGGCTAGGAAGGATCAAACAAATTTATGGGTGGGCGCAGCCAGATCTGGCAGGCCAGATCAGCTCGGTTCAGATCAGTCGGGTCGGGAAAACTTTTCATTGTGATTGATGGATGCGGGATGCCTACCACAAAAACAGCAGCGGTAGCAGCCAAAAGCCAACCGCATTCCCAGAGGGATTTTGATTATAGACAAGTTGTCGGTGGATTTTTATTATTGTGGAAATCGATCAAACCACTTGACGGCTGATCAAAGACAGCACACACAGCGAACATTTTTATGTCGATATCTCTCGTATTTTAATGCGCGTATTTTTTATACGATTTAATTATTGTGAATTTCGTTTTCCTTTGTTTTTGGATATAAAAATGTTGGCAGCTTTTGTATGCTGAGTTATGCAGATTCGCTTTTAACGAAAGTTGATGAGGTTCAATTGCAACTTGAAGAGGATAAATTTAAATTAATGAGTCAATCGAGCACAATTTATTGAAAGCTTTAAATTTAAATGAATAACTTGAAAGAATATTCCTTAATTTATTTTTTAATTCATTTTCTTTATTTTCTATAAAATCTGAACATGTTAATATACTTGACAATTGAACTACCGTTTTAATAAAACTTTTAATAAATCTTTAAATAATATGAATATATTTTTTTAGCACCAACCGATCATGTTATATATCCCTTTTAGTCATCGATTTCCCTTTGTGCATTGTGTGGAGGATAGTGAACATATTTCCCCATAAGTTGATTACTCGTTACTTGTTAGCAACAATGTGTAATAAAGCAAAACTTGCTCAGTCCAACCGAGATAAATCCGCTTCAGGACGAGGACAATAACGAGCTGAGCCAAGGGTAAGCTCGAACCTGTCCGATTGTCTGGCACTGCGGTTGTCTTGGCCACATATTCCCCGCCAGAAAGCAGAAAGAAACATTTGTCTCGCTTAATTTAAACAGATTTGCGAGATTATTGTCATGCCGACGTTGAGGCAGCAGTTTCAATTCGACCGTAGACAACCCGCAGTGCCAGCTGACAGATGAAGATGGCGGTTTTAAAGGGGGTAGGCGAATTAAGCGAATCGAGAATGGAGAATCAGAGAGTTGGAGAATCCCCGACTGTAAAGGGGAGAAAGTTGCTGGGCAAACCAGAGCAAGCCAACCGCAGTGATGCAAGCGAGTGCAAGGCAAATCTCCTCTCCTGACAGCCGCGAGCCGGCAACTTTTAATGTTTTCTTTGCCAAAGACCACGGCATTTCCGAGTGGGATGTTTGGATTGCAGAACAAATTTGCGGAGAACGTTATGCAAGTGACAGGCGACAGATCGGGGGATCTAAAGAATGCTGCTGCTGTTGTGAATTGTGGATGAAGATGATGATGGTTCCCTGATTCCCCGATTCCAACACAAGCCATATTTAAAACGCTTTGATGTTTCACCGCAGCAGCAAGAGGTGTCTGCGGCGCGATTTCAACTCATGTCGGGCTTGACACGATCGGAGCTTCATGCTCTGATCCGAGATGAAGCCTCCCAGATCAAGCCCGCCAATCTGACGGCCTGACTGATGCAGATCCAGATCCAGATGGAGATATGGAGATGCAGATGCTGATGCTGCCTGCCCACTTTTAATTGTTAATGAACGGTAACGGGAGGGGAATCTCAAGACACACACTCAGAAAATAGTAGCGTCTTAATGAGTTGGAGAATAAATACTTCTTATGAAATTTTATAAATTCCAGTTATAAACCTATTACCAAACTAATGAAGAAATACATAAAATATATTTTTACAAAAAATATAACTATTTTCGAGAAGTTTTCAATAGATAATTTTAAGGTATAATAATAAACTTAAAATGAAAACAAATTTTGGAATCTAAAATCTAATCTAATCTAAAATTATTTGTTAAAATTTATTTCCGATACTATAATTTTAATTTTTTTTAAATTTAAATTTTTTTAAATCCTTATAATTTATATATTTTAAGGAAAATATTTCCATGACCCCTTAGTAGTTTTTTGAGTGCACATACTCACTTGACAGCAAGACCGGCTAACTGCCTTGGACAGCTACTCGTTTCCGGAAGTTTATCTCCGTTGCAGCAAAGCAGCAGCAGCTGCTTGAAAGTCATTAGACTCCGTCAGCCTTGTCACTCAGTTAGCGTTTTGCTACGGCTTCGAGCTGAGACTTTGAGACTCTGAGGCTCCGAGGCACTGCGGCTCCCTAACGGAGACAGACATTTGATCTGGCCTGTCAGCCGGAGTCATGTCAAACTGTGTTTGGACAGCATGTTGCTAGTGTCGGCTGGAGTGGATAAAATGCGAAATGAGACAGGCTTTAACCCTTTGGGAGAAGATCATTCGACCGATCATGACTTAATGATACAATTAACTAATTGGGAAAAGAAAGAGGTTTTCTTATGGCAATAGTTCATACTCACAATGGCAGAGTGTCAATAAAGTCATTGTCAATAATATCTTTATAATAAAAATAATATAATAATATTGATTTCAAAATCAAGGAAAGGGCATCTCCAATTCTCAGTATTAACCACACCAAGTAACCCTTGTAAAACATTCTGAAGTTAAACATTTTTAAACAAAAGCAAGACTATAACCGTTAATATAAAATTGGATAATAAATGAGACCGCAAAATGTTTCGAACTTGTCCATCATTGATCACCAAGGGCAGACTCCACCTTGGACGTTGTTCTCTATCCAAAATTGCATCAACTCTTAAATCAGATGAGGTCGAAGAAGTACCAGCCAATAGACAAAAGGTAGTTCTACCCAAAATCGAAGGAAAACCGAGCCAACGCTATCTGGAGTTCCGGGAAAGGCTGCGATCGGAGGCGCCGCTGGATCCTCTGCTGCCCGAGAGTGCACCACATCCGGCCCACGAAAAGGAGCCCCTGGAGCCGTGGCCCAACAACACCAATCCGCATACGGGGGAAATCGGAGGACAGGCGGGACCAGAACCCACGCGCTACGGCGACTGGGAGCGCAAGGGACGGGTCACGGATTTCTAAGGGAAATCTTCACCTCGACACCTTTTTTGTTTGGACAATTCTGATTTATTAACCGTGTTAACAACAGAAGCACTCACAATTTGTTACACGAGGAAAACCGTGCGCTCCGGTAGCACCGGAATCCAGATCAAGATGAGGAAAATCAAGATTTCCCAGAGCTGCTTCTGCGAAGGCATTACATAAATTTCATTGTGTGTGATTTCCTTGTGGTTTCTTTCGAAAGGATTTGTGGATGGGACTGCCATCAAAAATAAATTGATAGCCCTTTCTTTTGCCTGTCGAAAAAAAGGGGTTCTCAGAATATAGAGAGTTGCGACCGAATCTTCTACTCCCATTATTTATGGTTCAGGGGCAGAGAATCGTGCCTAAGTTGAAATTATTTCGAGTGCTGTTTTGGGGGCTTCTTCGGTCGAAACGTTTCGATTCGTTTGAAATTAAGGCGACAGTTTACGTGATTTTTATTAGAAAAACTTCTGTTCGCCTTGGGTATCCGTAGCTGCTTCTAAATTTGTAGCCCGAGTGCGTTTGACGAAGACACATAAAGGGGTCTTTAAATGCCATAAATTTCTTTGTTAAGGCCCTGAAAAACGTTTTTGTGGTTTAAGAAATTTGTGGGACATTTTCGAAAAAGATTTGCAGCTGTTTTGGTTCGCCTCGTTGTCTGTTGACATTTTTGTGGGCTTTACTATGGATTTGTTAATGAACACAAATAGAAATTAGTGAAATGCTTTCGGAAGCCTGTAAATCTTTTCAAACTAATTGAGAATGTTTCTGCAGAAGATCGCCTACTTAAAATGAGTGAGTCGTTTTAGAATTTTCTACACAATCCGTCAATCTCATTACCATTTCTTGAACATCATCATATGTTTACACCTTTAATCGAATGCCGACGTCGGCAAAACGCCAAATCAAAGATCAATCACAATCCAACAAATTAACCACGTGAAATGCTCGAAAGAAAGATAAATTCCGCATAAATTCCAGGAAATCCACAAAAAGTCTTTAATGTATATACACGAAATTACACAGCAGCTGACTCGGGTGATCCACAAAAATTCGAAATACCAAATCGACAACTTGGCCAACGCTCAACAGGCGCGAGAAGCGATGACTTCCTCCATAGTCATCCATCAAATGCGATTTTCCAATTCGGAGGCCCATGCAACGGCAATTATTTCGTCTATTTTATTTTTAAACGAAATTAACGTGTTGCTTGTTGTTGCTAATGTGTTTTTATTACGTGAAAATCAAGGAAAACACACGCATACCGATGTTCTCAAGATCATTTTATAACCCGAACCGAACGAAACGGAACCGATCCGTATAACGTATACCCTTCTCCATTTCGCCTCTCGGTCGCAAAGTAGTAGGCGCTGATTGATAGAACAAAGTGAAAATCAAATAAAAAACAAAACATAAAATCCCCCAACCGAACCACATTGCGGCCGAAGATCAAAGACCGCCCCTCGATCTGTAATGACAGCTTTGATCATTGTTTTGCCTTTGATTTTTTCCGGTTACGTTTCTCTCACTCGGCCTGTACTCTTTCCTTTTCTTTTTTTTCGGCTGCGAGATGGTCCAACGGTCCAATGCATACGATCATCAGTCTTGTCGGTCGGAGATCTCTCGATCATATCGAAAGTACTTGGAACTGCGGGAACGGGCGAGCACTAGAGGCTGTTTACGATCAATTTCGCACCCACTTGAGAGATTTCGCCTTTGCCGAATTCATTTACAGCTGGCGAAAACTCAGCACCGACGGCCGATTGAAGGCTCTTGTCGGAATTGGGGATTCTACACGTCCAAAACAAGTATTCCCAATAAACCGAGTCGAAGACTTATAACGCACATATTTTTAGGAACTCGTAAAATTCACTTGTCACGTCGGACAATCGGTGTAGTTAAATGGAACGTATATTCCGGTACTAAACCTCGAAATAACTAGCACTAATAATAATTCAATCTTTTATCTCTTTAAATATTATTAATGTTTTCATATCAAAATCGTTTTGTTTTTTCCGGAATCAAATAATTCAGTGGATTAATGATTGCACTTTAATATTTGGTAATCGCTTTCCGAACACAAAAGTATACATTTGTAATACAATTTATCAAAAGAATTACTGAAATAAATCAAAAGTGAGTCAGAAGTGCTAATTTTAGCCTTAAAATTAATTTTAAGCACCTGAGCTTATACAAACTGGGAAATAAACTGGTTGCTAAAATAAATTTGAAGTCATTTACTTGATATCTTACTGGATTTGCTCGTAAATTTCTTGATAATAGTTTCCTTAATTTGTATTCTAAGAAATTAAAAAGTTTTTAAAATTAATTTTAGTTTATTTTAAAATATTTTCTAAAATTTTATCAAGTCATTGGCAAAGCAGAACCAAATAGACAGTAACGAAAGTTGAAGAAAAATTACGAGTGCCAAATGAAAGAGCGGGAGAAGGTGGAAAATTGGTAAAATATATGACCAACTATTATGTTATTGTGTGAACGTGCACTGATTTTACCAGGCGAGCTTTTGTTCACGAGAAATATTTTGGTGGGCGCCCAGAAACACGGGGCTCTCTCCAGCCCAACCCTCCCAGGATTCCTGCCGCCCAGGTCCTTCTGGCTGCGGAGAGGGCGTCTTATCGGAGCGTATAACATATATCATTGACACTTTGACATTGCCAGTTTGGCGGGGGGCGGTGGGCCAGAAGAAGGTCCAGGGCCATGACCAACAGGATTTTAGTACTTTTCAAAATGGCACTTAATCATGGCAGCCGCCTGGCGCAGGAAAATGCGGAAACTGGCAACAACAAGGACACACACCAAGACGTAATCGCATGTGTTCACGCTTGAAAGGATAACGACGACATGGCTGGGAATCGGGTATTGAAACTCCCGCTGACTTCCCTTTCTCCCCAGTCCCTTATATCGACCAAAGCGAAACAAGATTAATGACTTGGCAAAAGGAACTCTCGGTGCGAATGGGTGTATGTGTGCGCCCTGCTGGCTGCTCCTTTCTGGCATTCGATAAATTGTTTGCTACTTGGACTGTCATTAGTCGAAAAGTTTGTTTGTTATTGTGTTAAGTGTTATTTGTGTGCTCACGTCCAAGTGTCAGGCTCTTTGGCATTCCTCTTCCTATTCCTATTTCTCTTCCTCAGCTCCATTTTCACTTTTCCTCTCCATCGTTTATCACTTTCGTTCTCGTCCCGCCGCCAAAAGGATAATATTCGCCTGTCATAGATGACTCACACCTTCCAGCTGGCTAAGCCAGTGATGACCGCATAAAAGCCTTGGCAAAAAATTAGAGAAGCTGAGGAAAAATAAAGAACCATGGAACTTCCTTAATGATCTCTGGGTGACTTTCAAAATTGTGGCTAGATTTATTGTTTCTAGAGGAGAGATATGAAGAACTGCATATGTAAGTCATTGATGGAACTCAAATTTTTTATGTAAGACAATGAAGTATAGAAGTAATTTATTTTAAGTCTAAAAATATTTTTTTTAATCCAAAAGAAATGCTTGTACTTTTCTTTTTAGCTTATCAAAGAAAAAAAATAATTGTAAAAAGTTTAAATAAGAAGAAAATTAAATATTGAAAAATTGTAAACCTATTTTGGCGCCTAAATTGATTTATTTTCCTGTGATTTTTTAAGCCGAACCTATACTCTCAAAATCCTTAATACGCCCTACCATAAACTGCCATAAATTCATTAGCGAAAAATGTTGAGGAGCGAAAGCGGAAAAGGACGCTGAATTTAAGGAGCAAACACAAACAGGAAGCAAAACGCGATGGCCGCAATATACAACAATTTACAACCTAAATCAAATGCAGTTGAATGACCAACACAGACGCCATAAATCACTTGGCCACTGGGTGCCCAGTTGAGACGCCAGACGATGGCTCGAGTTTCCAGCCAATATTTTAGAGAGGAAACCCACCCAAAATGGTTGGGAAAAGCAGGGGAGCAAGGACTCGAAATCCGAGACCAAACGGAAAAAGGAAAAAGATTTCGTGAAAAGGGCAAATGCAATATGTTATCAAATAAAAATGTTACAAGCGACGACAGAGGAAGGCGAACGACAAGCCTCGAAAGGAAAGAAATGTGTTGCACAAATTTATTAGAAACCTTAACTAACGAGCAATATCCTTAGTGGATCTCGGGGTGGGCTACTGCTGCTTCTACTGCCACCGGTGGATGGAATGAAATCCAAGTGATGTGTCAAATGTTAAGACATTACAAAGCACTAAAAGGCACAAGGACATGAACCAGGGGGGGGTGGACCGTCGAGCAACAGGAAAACAAATCGAACGTGTGCCCAATGCCATCAATCTTTTGTTTTTATTGCCAGCCCAAGGTCCCTGTCAAGCGATTCTCGTGAATCCAGCAAGGATTTCGATTCGGATTCGGGGTGCCGGGGGTGCAGGACATGTGTGCGACAGTCGGGCAGTCGGGACTTGTGTGCCCGACATTAACTCGACAGGATAACAAATCTGTTAAATGTGACAAACGAGCCGAGCAGTGTGCGCTTGTGTGAGCCATCTCCAAAGAAAAGGCGAAAGGCCAACCCCGGAGTCAAGTTATGTGGGCGGCAGGAGCAACCTTCACCTTCTTCGCGACTCCCTAACCATCGTGTCCTGTGGTGTTTCCATTGACCTTTTCCCGCTGCGCATCCCCTGATCCCTGATCAGATAACTTCTCTTATGTGGGAGGAGGTAGGAGGAGGTGACCCCGGCTAGAACTGTCACTGCCTAACGATGATTTCATGGTGGTCAAACTGCAATAAATTTTTATTGGCACCTATTATTGAGCGACATATAGAAGAAGTTCGGCCCAAAACAGCATGGAATTTATGACCAAGGATATATTGGCCTGCTGCAATTCCATTCCTTTTCAGCCAGCTCATTGTGCATGCATGTCACACAGGTCCTGTGTTCGAGGTCCTTGGGTTGACCTGACAAAGACGTCCCGCAGCGATTGAGCTGGCACTCATGACAGTTTTATTAACCTGTTTACGAACTTTCCCGACCCTGACTTCGATTTTATGAAGGCTCTAACAGTCTAATAAAGACAAAAAAATTATGGTATCCATGGTGAACCGTTCGTATACTTACACCTTATTATTTAAAGGAAAATCAGTATTCTATAGACAGTGAAACTAATATTAGTTACCCATATTTTCCTGTCTGTTATT